TTATATGTACAATACTGCATGAAATAAGGATGGTCAGGCACTCACATGGTATTTTGTTCCACTTCTTAATTGTATTCTTGAGTAACTGTTGTGTTTGTCGCCATGTAGAGCTGAAAGAAACAGCGTAGAACAGGTTATTAGCGAAGTTTGTTGCATTCCAGGGTTGTGTTATTCAGCATAGTTCGACAGCGTTCAGCGTGACCACGGATGTGAAACTTGGACAATATTATGGTGGGATGTCAGCAACATGTAATGCAAAGAATACGCTGATCAATATCAAGTTGTTATTGTGTGAATAGTAAAAAAAATGACGTTGACCTAGAGATGAGTATACAACGTACTGAAACCTTCTCCGTGCACTGAGATGGTCTCCACTGTTCGGAACCCTGCGTCGTTGGCAGGTGCGGGCAGTTTAGCGCAGACAGGGCATATATGCCGGCACCGGTGTCCAGTGTAGAACAGTAGGGTATCCCTCGCTGCATGTCTGGAGGTTTACTAGGAAAGACAAGAAATCCAACGCCCGGGGTTACTGGACAGAAGAGCCTTGACGGAGAGAATTGGGGTAAGGCCGGAAAACCCCGGCGGAACATGGCGTCAGGTGGCTCAAACTTTACATAAACCAAAAAACCAGCCGCTAAAAACGAGCAGCTATTAAAAAAATTCACTAAAACCAAGGAGGTTAAATACCTCCTTGCTAAAACACTGATCGCCGATACCTGATAAAGACCAGTCGGATCTGTAATGATATACTGACCAAATTCTGTAAGCAAAATGGACGGAACAAACCACACATAGAACAAGATGAATGAAGTCAGGAAAACGGGTGTTAGAATCTTCACAGTACAAATTTCCAAAAATAAATTCATCAGGTATTATACTAACAGACGAATATAAACTCCAAGAATGCTAAATTACTTTAACATAGCCTGGCAGCCAGACCATCGCATGCTTCCGGTATCTCACGGTGGTGCTATCAGCACTGCCCGCCCGCCCAGAGGTATTTC